TATGATTACACTACACCTATCCTCCGATTTACACGGTAGATACGTTCCTGAGAAAAACGTGTAAATCGAGGGATAGGTGTATATTAAACTGTCAAATCTGAAAAAGTGTTCGCCCCCTCATGAATCAGAGCCTCCCAATATTCTTTTCAACATAGGTAGTATAGAGTAGAATATCGCATTTTAATATAGTGCGATAAAAAAAAACTCATTTGGAAAACCGTGTAAAAGCGAAAACGTGTAAAACAAGTACCGTGTAAATCGGGGGATAGGTGTATTTATATCGAATATTACTGAGAAGTATCCATATTTTCAGTTTACAATACGAATTTATCATTAAATACATGTTCATCTAAAGATTAACCGTTTTCGATATACACTCACCCAATAATTACATTATTCAATAGGTAACTTGGTCTATAGACAAAGCTAGAATGTTATTAGTTGTATTTTTATACAATAAACCTTTAAACGATGCCATTTTATCTAGAAAACCAGAAAGTAAACTATTTCTTTGAAGACTTATAAATCTTTCACTTCATTTTTATTTATGGTTCTTTCCAACTCTCTTGCTATAAATCTTTTAACTGGCTCTCAATTTTTAGCTTCGTGCGATCTGAACAATAAAGGCTTCCTATCTCTTTTAGAAACTTTCAACCGAATACTGTTGCTTCTGAAATGTGACGTTTTTACATTATTCTTCCTCTTTATTAAAATACAGATTTGATAAATCATAGGTCGGTTAATATTTCAAGCTATTTGAAATATAGAAAAAAACGTATTGATACGATTTACCTCATAGAGAGATTATGAGTATGTAGTTAATTATTTAAATAAAAAGGCATATAGTGGATCAAAATATCATTTATTTTACCAATATTTCAGTTGGCTGAACGCCAACCTTTATCAAGGTATTATAACATATTTAATGTGTGTCAATTATGTAGTTAATTAAATGATTAAATATTATTTTAAAAGATGAATAAAACAATATTTATATTAATATATTTAGTTACACAATCGAGAGATTCAATTTCCTGATACGGTATATTACACACAGAAACCTTTATTAATACCCATTGGGGTCTTTCAAAAGATTCCCATGGAAATTACAAGACATAGAAATCCTTGGAGAACAAGACATATACATGGAGCAAGAAATAAAAAAGATGTTTTTGTACACATGATATATACACAGAATTATGAGTATATCATATATCATTGGGTGGGAAAAGCTTACTGATTCTTCTCATATCAAACTAGCTAACTAAACCTTATTTCTGAAGAAGCTTTCTAAAATTGGAAGTATTGAAAAAAAAATGTGTTCTGTTAGATATATATAAGTTGAAAAAGCCCTGTAAGATTTATATATGAATAAAACAAAGCATCAAGGGCTGCGTTTCTTTATTAAAACAAATATATTCTAGCTTTCGGGCACATACGCCCTTCTACAGGAATTAATAAACAATAATCCAACTAGTTTGAAATAATATTTATATTTAAATTTAACGTGCATATCCACGATACACGTGCATTTCAATTTGCAAGGTATCCCATCAGACATGTGATTTCTTATACTGTGAATGAATTATTTTTATCTTATTTTATTTAAGTCTATTGAATTATATGCTTCTGGTAAATCAATTCTGCGATTTATACTGTTATATTGTTTGGACACTATTGCTTCAATTATTAATCTTTGAAATTTATTATTAATATTGTTATAATGTACTTTAGGTTCATTTAAGTTAAATGTGTGTCCTGTTGAATTGGAGTGCTGTACTATTAATGATAATGGGTCATTTCTGTTTATGTTTCTTCTGTGTTCAATGATTCTATTATGCAATTTTCTTCCCGTTTCTCCTACATATTTGGAATTACAATTATTACATTCTATAGAATAAATTACCTCTTTTCTGCTTGATATATATTCAGTTTGCCTGTTTTTTGTAATCGGGTTTCTTAAGATATCTGATAAGTTGGGAGAGTTGCTATAAAAGGTTTTTATTCCATATTTATCTAGTGTTCTAGAAATGTGGATGGATTTCGGGGAATATGGGATGTAACAATTCTGCCTATATATTTTAGTTTTTTGTGCTGACATGTTAGATGTGACCTGTGCCTGATAGAAATGTTTTAAAATAAATGTTTTGGGATAACCAGCTGATGTCAAATTATTGATAACGGTTTGCGTTTCTTGCGTTTTGTATTGATTTAAAGAACAATGAGTATAAATTCTTTTAGTTAATGTTTTCACTGTGTTAATTTTATGACTAATGGGGCAGAATGAATAAAATTTTATATAATTGGGGGTGAATGAAGGTTTGTAGTAAACTGTTGTTTGCAATCTATTGTCTATTTTAATTATTTTAATATCTAAAAATGGCAATGTGCAATTATCTTCTTTTTCTATAGTGAAACGTAAGCTATTGTTATAATTGTTGAGTGAGGCTAAGATGTTGGGAATCTTTTTTCTGTACAAATGCAAAATATATCATCTATATATCGTCTGTATAATATGATGTCTGCTGGATATGATGATGTTATCCAATTGTCTATTTCTCTCATAACTATTTCGGCTAATGGAGTTGATAATGGGCTTCCCATAGGGGAACCCTTGATTTGTTTATATTGTTTTTGGTCAAAAGTGAATATGTTAACTTTAAGACATAATGTAATTAAATCTATTATTTTATCTATTGTTTTAGAGTCTATCATATTGTTATTTAAAAAGGTTTTAGTAGTTTCAATTATTAAGTTATGGGGGAGACTGGCACATTCTATCAGGCACAGGTCACATCTAACATGTCAGCACAAAAAACTAAAATATATAGGCAGAATTGTTACATCCCATATTCCCCGAAATCCATCCACATTTCTAGAACACTAGATAAATATGGAATAAAAACCTTTTATAGCAACTCTCCCAACTTATCAGATATCTTAAGAAACCCGATTACAAAAAACAGGCAAACTGAATATATATCAAGCAGAAAAGAGGTAATTTATTCTATAGAATGTAATAATTGTAATTCCAAATATGTAGGAGAAACGGGAAGAAAATTGCATAATAGAATCATTGAACACAGAAGAAACATAAACAGAAATGACCCATTATCATTAATAGTACAGCACTCCAATTCAACAGGACACACATTTAACTTAAATGAACCTAAAGTACATTATAACAATATTAATAATAAATTTCAAAGATTAATAATTGAAGCAATAGTGTCCAAACAATATAACAGTATAAATCGCAGAATTGATTTACCAGAAGCATATAATTCAATAGACTTAAATAAAATAAGATAAAAATAATTCATTCACAGTATAAGAAATCACATGTCTGATGGGATACCTTGCAAATTGAAATGCACGTGTATCGTGGATATGCACGTTAAATTTAAATATAAATATTATTTCAAACTAGTTGGATTATTGTTTATTAATTCCTGTAGAAGGGCGTATGTGCCCGAAAGCTAGAATATATTTGTTTTAATAAAGAAACGCAGCCCTTGATGCTTTGTTTTATTCATATATATATATAAGTAGTGAATATTTTTGAAGACTCAAATGATATATTGTAATATCGAGGGAATGTGTGTGTGAATATAAATGAATCTAAGGCTGAAAGATCAAGCTTATTATGTATCGTACTTTTATTGCCATGAAGATTCAGAGTGACAAAGATGAAGCAACGATCGATATGGTATCAAGGAAAAATGAAAACCTTTTTTTGATTCATCAACTATTATGTATGATATATTAGAAAAGAAAAGACACTCTTTCTTTTTCAATCACACACACATGTATAATATTGTCTTAAATAAAAAAAAATAAATTAATTTTAAGATAGTTCAAAAAGTTTTTGCTGGAATAGTGTTTTATTACATATGAACGTAATAAGGCAAATGAAACTTAATTTATATACCTTTTCTAAAATGGCCCTATATTTTCGCTCCCTAAAACACCTATTTGAAGATTGGATCTTTTTCATAATTCCTACCGTTATACATGAATGACTCTTAGACTTTCTTTTCCTGATGCAGACCAAATCCTGAAACAAAGATATATAGATTTGCTTGTTCACATCAGTCTAAACTGGTGTATTCGTTCATATTGTGTGTCAAAATAGTGTGTTATTTATAGTTTTTCACGTTTTGCAATTGCGTTTGTTATCTATCACGATCATCAAATTGTTTTTATTCTCAAGTATTGTTTAAATGAAAAGAGAATTTTCGGAAGAACACCGAGCCACAGAAGGCCCGAAATGCATGATATATTTTTATAATTAAGTAACCTCTCTCAGTTTAATATACATTTCAAATTAATGAAGATTCAATCGATATTTTTAACGTAAATAAATATAAAAATAAACATCAGAAAGGCATGGGAATTTATTAGATGTAAACCTAAATTTGAATTCATAAAATACCAGAGAGGCAATGAAGAAGGTTACAGAGATTAGTAAAATATGAATTTAAAACATCAATATATAGGTAATCCAGGCTCCTAAAGCGTACCCATAGATAACCAACTACCCCCTGGCATATAATAAATTTAAATTAATAGGAATATAAGATATTAAATATTAATATTGATAATGGAAACATGAAATAATTATTTCTTTGCTACAGTATTAATTCCAATAAAGGACAATATAAAAATTACGTGAAAATTGAAAGTGAGTGAAAGAAACTTTCTATACATCCGTCGATATATTCAGTAGATTGATTATTTAAATTGGAGGCGTATCAGCTGAATCAATTGCTGGAGAGGAAACAGCCATGTTTCCCGATATTGGCCCTCATCAGGAAGTGTAGTATACAAGCCGGATATAAATTCACTTTTTTGAAAGTAAGAATAAGATTTCCAATTAAGATTATACATAAATTATTCATAAGAGAAGTGTTGATAAGGACAATTGATTCATAGTGATATGTGAATCTAAGAGACAACGTTTAATATAAATGTTGTAAAAAGTTACTGCTTTCTGTTTTGCCGAAATAGCTCAGTTGGGAGAGCGTTAAACTGAAGAACTAAAGGTCCTTGGTTCGATCCCGGGTTTCGGCAATTTTTTTAGCTCAAATATCAAACACTTTGGTTATTATTCCGTAAAACTATATTCTCTCGATGCTTTCTGTGTTTGACGTATTGTCAATTTTGTAAAATAGAAGAGAGAAATATAAAATGATTGACATATTATCACGATTGATTGGACATATTATCGAATAAGCCGACTTGCCATCAGAAAGCATTAATTAGAGTCACTTCCTACAAGACAGGCAGGGCACTAAATGATTATGATATAGGTATAAGTACTGGGATTCAAAATATACCCTTATTTATGTACAATAGATCATTATAGCTCCACAGTAGCCTAGTGGACATGGCATCTGTCCGGTAAGCGGAACACTGTGGGTTCGTTTCCCATCCCTGGAAACTTTATTTTTCCGCTTATCATGATTCTTCACAATTCATTCTTTCATACTTCATCCCTATGGTTAAGAAATAATCGGTATTTCTCCTTAAAATAAATTTCGATTTTTCGTTCAAAAGAAACACATGCGGGATAATTTTCAAATGTCGTTCTTTAATATCTCATTAGCTCAGGTCCATTCCGACACTAGCATGAGAGTATATATGTAAGTATCAAGTTTTTGTAAGAACTGGAGAACGGTGGGAGGTTTAAACGACACTACCCATTTATACAATGGTTCACTAGTCCCAAGACATTGTCACAGAATGTGGTGACTTACTCAGTGAATAATTATCCGTCACATGACGTTAATTCACCATTTATTTTTAGTTTGTTTAAATTTCTCAGTTATATTTTGAGATATGGTAAAATTTGTAAATACACCTAATCCCCGATTTACACGGTACTTGTTTTACACGTTTTCGCTTTTACACGGTTTTCCAAATAAGTTTTTTTTTTGTTTTTATCGCACTATACTAACGAAATACTATACGAAAAAATTGTAGAGAAATTGCCATCTTCTTCTTCAACTGAAAAGAAGCCAAATTTTTTGGCAAGTCATGGCTGGTTTGAAAGATTTAAAATAAGACATTCTTTTTTTCGATTTACACGTTTTTCTCAGGAACATATCTACCGTGTAAATCGGGGGATAGGTGTACTTTCAATGTTAAAATTATTTTATTTTATGATTATTCGTTCTGGTCTCAATTATAAACATGTTATGGAGACCGCTGCGAGGGTTAACCGACACTCCCCATTTATATTGTGGCGAAGAAATAATTTCTATTTTATTATTTAATTTAATTATTCAATGAAAATATTTGAAACGTATTTATTACTTTATATTTATAAAATCATCATTAAGTTGCCTAGCTTGCTTGCTCGATATTCTCTAGCTGTAGATAGTTGGGTTGGTTTGTTGATAATTGTCGACTGGTCATGGTGACGTCATCAATAAATACTTCACCGCTAAACAACAGACAATAAATAATGTTGTAGATCTATATCAATTTGTAAATAGCAGAAAGAATTATCGTAGATTTAACTATTTTTGCAAATATATTTATGATTTTCTTTCAAACCTGAAAGGCTCAGGTTCCTAATATATATTATTGTTTCTCTTTTTATTTCGATTACTTTTTCTTGTATAATATGTTTATAACTGTTTCTGTTTAAAAAAATGTAAATCGACGCAATTATCCCTAGCCGGGATATCGCGTTTTTTGTGTTGAAATAAAATAAAAGATATTCCAAGTCTTGATTTCTACGCTACAATATATATATATATATATGTTATATAAAAATATTATTTTATTTCAAATTATAATTTCATAGAATCAAATACTCTGCTAAATCGTCCGCCAGAGGTCACTCTTCCCCTATAAAAACTCGTTGTTGTTCTTCCCCGTTGGCCGGCTCAAACCTTTCGTACATTATGTAAATAAGCTTTTCTTTTTTTTGATTAGTGAATTAACTATATTTAGTTGAAGAATTTGCATAGTTGAATTTGAAAATTTTTGCTTTAGTCATTTTGAAACAAACAGGTAAATATCCTGTCGACTATTCTTATATATAAAAAATATATATTATTGCATCATGATTAAGGCACGTATTTTTAGAATTATTTAATATATTATTTTTTCAATAAATTTAAAATTTAAATTATATATTTATTTATTTTTATAAAACAGATTATTACTATAATATATTATGTACTCTAAAACATTTGTATTTTGATACACTAAATACACTACCTGTTTTAAACTATGATATGATAAATAAAGAGATATTCTAGGTGCTACCTAAAAATATAGTTGTCTTATTATTGACTGGTTTAACCTTGTAGGGTGGTTGAAACACGTTCTGGAAAGTCCCACGCCATTCCAACTCTATCGCAGAGTACAAATAAATTATTTGAAAAAGAAAGAATAAATAAAAAATATTAAGGTGAAGAGTTCCTTTTAAGGTAACTATTTCTTGGTAATTTTTACAAACACGAATAAATCAACTTGGAATCTCGTAAAATGAAGACTGCCGCTGCTTTCACATCACGTATAGTAATGCATTGCCCCTTAATATTAACAGAAGTAATATTCGAACAAACATTATGACATTTACTAAGTGACCTCTCTTTCTATGTGAATTAACCTACCATATTACAATGTTACAGATAAATCTACCCCCTATATATATATTCCTAGTCATTTATACAAATTACCCATCGAGCTGTCTATAAAGGAAGCTGCCTTCGACCAATTTGTCTACAATCGAAAATCAATACCTAACAGATTACAGCTTTGAAAAACTTAATCGACAACGCTATTTTGTTTTTTAAAAATCCTATAAAACTTTATCGATATAAAGTTTTTTAATTTGCGTTTAATATTCATATGGCATTAAGTAGGGATTAATTAGAATATTTATAATGGGAAATATTGAAGCACGGTTTCTTTTAAATCTTGAGAAAGCTGAGAGTACGTTTAGGTCGTTATTGTCAAGATTTTGTACTTTGTGGAATAATTTCAGATCAAATTATATTGTTGAACTCTAAATTCTTCATGAAAAAGTAGAAATATATTTTGAGCACGATTTAATAAAACATATATAGTGTATTAAAGTGAAAGTTGTATAAGCTTATGATTTTGCTTTGTTTTAAAAATGAATCGATGTTGGTTCCATATGTTTGAATTGAATATTACACCTTAGTTCTATATATTTTATTGTTTAAAAAGGAACACAACAAAGCGAAAAGAAACTACAATATAGCGAATGATTTGATAACTAACTAAGAAAAAAATTATATTTAAAATGATGATGATAAAAATTTGAATATGTCTGCCATAAAAAGCTTCTATGAATTAAAAATAAGAATAATTACTAAATTAATATACAAACTTCAAACATATAGTTATTTTGGGTCAAAACAAGATTCGTTTAATATTTATATAAAAGAGCGTACCTGGATCTGTGAAAGAAAATAAAATAATTTTTTTCACAGATCTAAGGGGGGGGGGGTACGCCTTTTGCATATGAATATATAATTAAAATCTTTTAATTTTATTTATTATATATATAATTTATAATTATAATCTTTTTACAGCCCTCATACTGAAATGATTAAAAATTGAAAAAAAGAAAGTCATGGCTCATCGGTAGCACATCACCATTTGGTTTTCTAGACAGCTTCAATATTGTATTAGACTGAATTATTATACACTGAATTTGTTATTGAGCCCAGTACATTAATGATTTGAAAGAACTATGGATATATGCGGTAGAGCATTGCTTAATCAATTAAATCATCAATTTATATATATTTTTCGACAGTTCTTGGAGCATATGTTCATAGTTATTTCAAAACCCCAATTTACTGTATTCGATAGCAAATACAGGGTATATAACAATTGAGTCTAATAGAATATTGAAGCGGTCAGGAGATTAATATGGCGAAACTCTTGGAGGGTTCACCATTGATGAGCTATGCGCCTTCTCTCTCTCAAATTTTAATCATTGCAGTATAAAGGCTGTAGA